TCCAGGAAACTTCTCTACTGGTCTCTGTGGTGGGCTCTGGCTACAGCCGGCTTTTATCAGGTCCTGAATTATATCCAAGTGCTGTGGGACTTCCAAGCCCCCTCTCACAGCTCCGCAGTGTACAATGGAGCTGTCGAAGCACTAGCAACTTTTTTAGGTAAGTAAAAGATGATTAGTAAATAAGTAACCCACCCTGTGCTGAAGCATTCTTCAGCACGCCTTTGGTGCCTTTCCATCTCATATGAGGACCAGGGTCAACAGCAACAGCCTGATATATAACACCCAAATAGTGTGCAAAGCATGTTTTTTTCTATTAACTTTTATCAGTGGGCTTTTCAAAAATTATATATATATATATAAAAGCTTTTCCTTTCTAGAGGAACCTTATTCCACCTAAGTGTTGTAAGAGTTTAAGTTCACCGCTCTGTTTAGACCATGAATTTAACCCCAAGCACTTTGAAACCCTGCACAACCAACCTTGCATATACCTCCCTCAAATACACCTTAAGCTGGCAAGTTTAGGAATTAAAAGAACACACTAACAGATACACTGTTCTAAATGGTCTATTTAGACAGTGGATTAAAGATCATTTCAGGCCAAGTGCTCCTCAGCAAATATTCTGTGCTGCATCTCTATCCTCATCAGTAAGTTTGCCTCTGGATATGATATACAAGGAAAGACTGAGAGCACTGTAATTACTTAGCCTTCAGAAAACAAGCGATTTCATTAACGTACATAAAGACTTGAAGGGGAACAGCAAAGAGGATGGAGCCAGGCTCTTCCCAGTGGTGCCCAGTGACAGGACAAAAAGCAAGGGGCACAAAATCCAGCACAGGAGGGCCAACCATGTCCAGGGGGGACATCAGGCAAAGCAGCACCAGTCAGCTGAGGGAGGGGATTGTCCTGCTGAGCTCTGTGGTGGCCTCACCTTAAATATTGTGGCAGTTTTGGGTGCCACAATATCAGAAAGACATTAAGTTCTTAGACAGTGTCCAAAGGAGAGCAACGGAGATGGTGAAGGGCCTTAAGGGGAGGCCGTGTGAGGAGCAGCTGAGGGCACTTGGTCTGTTCAGCCTGGAGGAGACCTCATTGCAGTTACAACTTCCTCCTGAGGGGAAGAGGAGGGGCAGGCACTGATCTCTCTGGTGACCAGTGACAGGAGTTGTGTCAAGAGAGGTTTAAGTTGGATATTAGAAAGAGCTTCATCACCCAGAGGGTGGCTGGGCACTGAACAGGCTCCCCAGGGCAGTGGTTCACAGCATCAAGCCTGACAAGAGTTCAGGAAGCATCTGGATGATACTCTCAAGCACATGGTGTGACTCTTGGGGATGGTCCCGTGGACAGTCAGGGCTTGGACTCGATGATCCTTGTGGCTTCCTTCCAACTGAACATATTCTGTGATTCAAAGTTCCACTAAAGCATATAAGAACATTTTTATTGTAAGAGTGATTTAAAACAGCAACAGGTTGACCAGAGGTGTGGACTCTCCATCCTTGGACATACTGAAAACCTAAGACAGCATCCTGAGCAGCTTGCTTTAGCTGACTCAGCTTTTAGCAGGGCCAGGTGATCTCCAGCCATCTCTTCCAACCTCAGCCATTCTGACTCTCATTAGTTCCTTGGTCCATGCCAATGACACTTCTCTTTGGCCACAGAACAGAAGGTTATGGCCAAAGTGAAACTTCTTTTACATGACTGTGCAGTACCAATGGAGCTTCCTTTTTGAGGTCCCATTTACACATCTGTCTCCCCCTTCATTCCAAGAGTCCCATCCCACATTTCCACAAGGAATTGTCAGTTAACTTCTCCTCCCTGCAATTAGCATGAAAATCTGTTTTACTGAAGCTACTCCAGAGCTACTCAGACTACTGTTCTGAGTAGTGTTCCCAAGGACTTTCTTGCTTTTACACTCCCTGGCACTTCAGACTCCAGAAGGCACTCACAGTACTGGAAACCTCTGCCTGCAGCAGGGATGGACCAAAGGGGTTGGTTTGCTCTAACTTAAGGAATGCTGATGAAGAGCACACACAACCAGCAAACAAAGTCCAATCTGCTAACGTGCCTGGAAACATGGAGTTTGCTACACTGTGATGCACTCAGCTCAGGGTTTTGTTACATGTGATGGTCAATAAGGCAAATGCAGTTCACAAGATTTTTCACCAGAAACTGAAAAGACACTTTCAGAAAAAGCAAACATGAAGTACAACATATTTTCATTTCATAAAGATCTTTACATGAAGTAAGAGAACTCATTATGCCTATTTTGGCAGAAAATGCTTGGTAAGATTGTTCTTCTCTTTTGCTCAGTTGTCAAAAAATGCAAGAAACAACAATAGACTGTGTGCTGCTGCCTCCAGCCTTGGGCATGAGGCACTTTCCCAGAGCACTTCAGTCAGTGAAGGGTCTGTAAGCAAGGAGGAAAACACCCAAACAAATGGAAGACTCCCACGCCACTAATAGAAGTATAATCCACACCATTATTGGAGCCCACTGTGACTGTAACAGACTGAAGAGCTCCTGGCATGATCCAACTACACAGTTATACAATGGCTCTCAAGGATAATAATGTTTCAGAGTTTTAATCAGTACTTTTCAATTTTCAGGTTCAATAACATCCATAGCAGTTGGATACGTCAAAGTGAACTGGGATCTCTCTGGAGAACTGGCCTTGGGAATTTTCTCTGCAATGGATGCCGGTTCTCTGTTTCTCATGTACTTCACTGGGAACATCTGGGCATGTTATGCTGGTTACCTTGCATTTAAGGCTTGCTATATGCTCCTTATAACGATAGCAACGTAAGTACAACACACAACTGTTCTAATTAAATTGATTTAAATCTGTGTCAAACTTTTAAATTTATCAAAATTTTACTGGAAGTTTCCCTAGAAATAAATTTTAACTAGGTTATGACAGCAGCATACATTATTTCTAGCCTGTGTAAAACTATGCTTAAAATTTTATGACCTACCCATTACAATAATACAGTTCCTGTCAGAACGAGGTAGCTTCTGCATTTGGCTGTTCAACGATCTATGTACAAGCGTTCTATACATGATCAAATAAATATATACCAGTAGTCAACAGAAATATCCACTCAAGTAAAAGGTAAGTAGGATGCACAAAGGTCACAAAGCCAGAAAAACCAAGGAATTTCTGCCAAATTGAAGCTGTTAAAGCTTAATAGCCAAGATTGAAGTGACTGCCCTTTGAAGAGTCCACTGGGCACATTAAAGTGCACACGTCCTTGCTCTCCACAGTTTGGCCAACCTGTGCATTCATTGGCAGGTTTCAGATTGCTGTCAACCTGAGCATGGAGCGTTATGCTTTGATGTTTGGCTTCAACAACTTTGTCGCACTGGTGATTCAGACAATTTTAACTGTTGTTGTAGTAGATTCAAGAGGTCTGGGACTGGATATCAGCACTCAGGTAAGCTACATGACTGCTCTCAGTCCCCCTACTCTTCTCAGAAAGTGGGTTCTGCTCCAAGACTAGCCTTTGGGAAGATACCAGGTAATGTGTGAGCTTAGGCCAGTTACTCGGAAAAAAAAGTTCATTTAAAGTGAACTGCCATGAGCTACTACAACTTGTCCTCCAGTCCTCTCAGTTTTGCTTTTCTGCTATAATATTGAGAATATTTTCATAGAACAGAGAGGAAGGACCACCACCTATTTCTCAGAGTATTTTTGCAATTAAAGGCTTACTATTCACAAATTTATTGTCAAAATACCCTAACTAGAAGCAGGAAGCAAACCAAAAAGCAATCAATGGGTCTATTATTAGGATAATTCTAACTAACACAGTTCCAGTGGATGCACTATAAAATTTACTCTAATTCTGAAAATTAACTTAATTCCCCACTAAGTTTCTAAACTTAAAGTTGATACTTATGTCTCAAATGAGGTCCAAGTCTCTAGCTTTCATATTTTCAGAGAAGAGACACAAGTGCAGGACTGTTATCCTCCCTTACTGAGCTAGGGAAGGGAAGCACATTACAGAATATTCTCTCCCCCTTTTACAACCTCAAACTTCCTACAGTATGTAATCAAGCAGTCAGACTTCGAGTCCTTTCAAATGGGATCATTTTGGGCACAGGTGACAGGGGAGGGCAGCAGTGGAGGGACACCTCTTATTATCTAACGGCAAAAGCAGTTTTTGACTCTTTCTCCTCCTTTTCCACCTCCATTTCCCAGTTTCTCATTTATGGCAGCTACTTTGCAGTCATAGCTGGAATTTTCCTCATCAGAAGCACATACACCATTATCTCCAACAAACGCAGCAATACCAGGGCGGCTGGTGAAAGCACTGGGCGTTAACAACAGAGACAAGAATGGTTACAAGCAACAGTGCAGACGGCTCCATCATCTGAACAACAAATTAGGAGACATATAATGTTCCATCAAGCAAAACTGGTGCAGGTAGAAGCAGGCTGTTAATGAGCCTACAGCACAGAGCTTTGTCAGCAGCAATGCATTTTGCCTGTTTTCTTCATCAGTAGTTTAACTCGAAGTTAGTGATCGACACTCGAACTTCGATTAATGCTCCATGAGCACAAGTACAGGCAGGTGCCTGAACTTCACATCAGAAGAACTTACAGAACCTCTGAAATTTCACTTCTACCAAGTATTTCAATTAAAGGCAATTTAGGCCTTTGGACATTCCTAGGGAATATAAAGCAACAGTTGCCCCTGGCAGCAAGATATCTGTTGGAAAGCTTGCCACAGAGGAAATGTAACACTTTTTCAACTGGAAGTTGTGACACAGATTTTTAAAACAAGTTAACAAATAACAATAAACAATTTTTTCCCCAAAAGATGCTACTCAAATGTTGGATTACTACCATGTGATTTAGTATAGCAATACTGTCACTTTCCCAATGGTCAAATGCAGGCATTTCAGATTCCACACAGACAATGCACTCCTCAGAAATGTGAAGTTATAGCACTGTAAGAAAAAACATGTCATTATATACAGATCAACTGCTACTGATGCAACGACAGCTTTACCGTGAGTTTGTTGAAGGAGCATGAACACAACACCCTGACCTTCCCTTTGAGTGTCTGCCTTGATAAGCATATGCAATAATTATATCCAACAACTGCCATGACCCACACACACTTATCTTTGGAAGCAAAGAGCCTCCTAAACTAACATATTTTTAAACCACAGGGAGACACTTCAGTTGCTATACAGAACAGTCTTAAATAACATGACAAAGTTTAAATATAACTAAAGCTAATTAAGGAATGTTCTTCCAACTGTCCACTTTCTAGTCAACTGTACCAGACAGCAGTAAATTCCACTGTATTCCTTTACCACAACTTAGAGATTCATCAAGACTCAGAATTAACCGACCCACTTCATCTCACAAATAAAGTAAAAATCATCAATTCCTTTCAGAACAGTTTTGAAAAGCTACTTGAGCTCATTTTCATGTCCCACTAAGTTTTCCCTTCAAGAGGGCAGAATACTTGCATCATGTAGCTTTCTTTCAGGAATTCCAACTAAATTTGGTGCTTTCCAAATTAATTTTTTGCTTCAGCACTTGTTTCAACATGGTATTTGGATGTTTGCAGCCATTAAATACCTTTCAACTGCAATACCTGGACATCACATCTGCCTTACAGAACAAGATGTACCCACTCCTACAACTGTAGCATCTTCTTACACACATAACAGCTATTTTAGGACTGAAGTACTAATCTAGCAGGTCTCCATATTAATTTCTGTATAAGAGGGCTGAAGTTAGTAAGTGAAGTTCTTTGATGCTAAAGCATGAATACAGCTTTTTGGCAACTATGCATGAGCAATGGTGTGAACAACTGCAGAGACTTCCAAGATAAATTTATAATCACAGGTGAAGAATTCATTTAGTAAATATAGCTATTTTTAAAACCTAATCAACAAAACAGATACAGTGTCAGTTTCTACTCAACATACAGAAGACTCAAAACAACACATGATCTTCAGCTGCTTGTCTGGAGTTTGGAAAATGTAAAATTACTGAACACAGACTAAGCAGATGTGGCTGTGTATAGTAGAGGTTGCCAACCTTTTATCTGAATTTAATCTAGCTACGAAAACTAAAGTATTCCACTACTTCTGCAGCACACTGTAGAACTACATGCCCTTCATACTTAAATCAATTTTGGTATCAGCAAGAATCAGCTTCCTTTGGATAAGGACAATTTCAATAGATGCTGATCTCATCAGCCCTTGCCCAAAGCCTCATTTATACCAATTGAGGTGAAGCAGGCACAGGATTGTTCCCCTTTCACAACACTGTCTCATTTTCAGGACATTTGGTTGATTTGGTCCAGTTCCCTGCACTGGGCATATTTAAGTGTGCCACAAGCCCTTGCAGTTCCCCACTCTACTGCACTTACCTGTTACTATCCCAAAACAGCTAAGGTTGACAACAGGAAAGAACTACAGCTATTTATACTGTGACAAAATACAGTGCTGAGAGCAAGGGCATCACTAATACCCTGGAAACCCTCAATTTTGGGGGATTTGTTCAGTCAATTTTCCAGAGAATCTTGGGAATTAAACTGTAGACCATACTCTGCCCAGCAGTCTTCATCAGAAGGAAAAAACAGACCTCAAGTCTATTTTAACTTTAAATACGACAACAGGACAAATCCAGACACTAAGTTAAGGAAAGCTACTACAGGCAGCTTGTTGTGTGAGTTGCCTGTCCTGTGCTTGGGATCTCCAAAGTTTAAAAAAAAAAAAAAAGAAAATAGAAATTCCTGCCCAGGTAGGCAGGCAACAGAAGTCAAAAGCATTACCTTAAATGATTGTAAAATCAGAGGTCAAGGCTTTCAGATGTCCTAGAAATAAACAGATCTAATATTCAGGCAGTAAATTAAAAGTGGAATGTATTACCTTCAAGAATTGTCATGGTTATCTCAAATGGGCTTACATACCCTTTTTCAAAAAAAAAAAAAAAAAAATCAACCTCACCTTATTTATTCCTGTTATCCTGAAAGCTGTAACATTTTTTCTCCAGCTGGTCCAAAACCTTTAAGCTTGCAGTTTATGTATTCATGATATATTTATATTATTTGCTTAGTTCCAGTATTACACTTGAAGTTAAGCCAAATTATTTCTGTGTTTAAAACACCATCACCAACTACTCTGATACAATTACATTTTCTCGAATCTTATTACTATTACAGACTAGACAAGCCAGACATTTTTCCCCCCTCTACAAATTCCATTCTAGTAAGGCAGGAAACATTCCTGTAAATTTAAAAATGACAAATTTAATATTCCAGAGGAGTTTTTACTAATATATATTGTTTTTTAATAAAAAGTGCTATTCCATCTGTGGTACCTTGTCCTGCTGTCACACATTTTGTTCTCATCACAATTAGTTACCCATAATCAGGTGTCTTTTGCAGCAAACCCCTTCTTGAGTGACTACCCTCTGCATTGCTTCAGTGTCCTTCACTACAGATATTCTATCCAGATAACCCACGCTCATCTAACACTCTCCTGTTTGACAGGTCACTTCACTTGAGCTAGAACAGTAGCTTCATCACAGGATACAAAGAAACATTTTCAAGTGAGGCATGTGAAAATTTTAAGCTTAACTCATGCTCTGGATACCTCATCTGTGTACAAGACTTGCAGGATACACATTTTTATCCCATAAATGTTACTGCACAGAAATAATGCTACACAATTGTTTTTTCTAATATTTATTTTTTCACCTGCAAACTGTAGCAAAACATGATCAGCTTTATTATGCAGACAGGTATCCCTCTAACATTAGAGATTTAGGCATGTATAAATAGAATAGCTCTTAGGAAAGGAAAATGTTTTGAGAAATGAACAAACCTTCAATTTAACTTCATGACTTCCAATACCAACGGTTAAAATGATGCAGCTCATTCATTCCAAGAGATACAACAGCACCTTAAAGTGGCTGATCTATTCCCCAGTAACATTTTTCACATAACAATGTGTTAAAGTTACAAATACTGATATGCACAAATAGCTATTTTCTAAGAAAAATATGTACAGTACTGCAGCATAATGAATGTGGTATCTGCAATAACTTATTAGCCAATTTTAATATACATGATACCGCTACTTTTTACCTGCCAGTTCACAGGTTCAAGGATGTTACCACAGCCCTCTGTTTTGCACGTTATTACCTGGTGGGGGGTTGGTTTTCTCACTTTGTTTGTGTCAGGGTTTTTTTTTTCCTTTTTAAAATTTTTTAAAGGTACACAATGCAGGCTTTTATTTTTACTTCTTAAAGACTTCTTTTGTGTTTAAAGCTAATATCAGTGAAACAAGACAGCAGTGCAAGAGGCGCAGAGATGTTATGTGACCACATAAGAGTTCTTTTGGGTAAAGTGTCTATAAGGCTATAAGAAAGGATTGGTTGATGAGCTTCCCGTTGGAAATTGTCCTGTTGGTGCACCAGCCTGGGGGAAAAGGACAGAACAAAAATAAGGCAAGTATTTAAGACTTTTTCCATACTGTAAATCATAAATGCAGAATATATAAAAAGAAAATAACCTACTGGGAAATATTTCTGGTTTATATTGCAGTCTATTTTTTGGTGCTTCTCTGAAATTACACTACTGTAAGAACATAGTATCCAAGTACCTCTGTTTTGATTTGAACAGATGCCACGTCATCATAACACTGAATTGCAGTTAGCAGAGTCACATGCTGCTTCCCTTTACTTGAAGGAAGAAAACCCCAATATCTTTGCGTATCTCTAAATTAAGTGTTACAGCTTATGCTTCTTTGGACATACATTAGTTATTAATACTATGCAACAACTCACTTACCATAAAAGGGTTACTAGATACTCCAACAGCTGCAACTTGTCCAAAAGGAGTTACTACAGGCTTTGCTTGCCCAAATGCAGCAAAACCTGCTCCTTGGAAAGACAAGTGAAAAATATTAACACTAGTAAACAATCTGCCAAGAGTTCTTTGGTGCAGCTCCCACCCAAATGTAAGTGGAATCTTGAACTGCAGAATCAGCAGGACTGATCCTACTCAAACATTACCACGAATATAAGCCTAAAAAATGGTCACTGAGCTTTGGTTGTTTTCAACCATTCGTAACTAATCCATTTCCAATTTCTGCATTTTTTCAATGTTGTTGTATCATATAAATTTAGGGAGAAAATACTTTCCAATTTTCTCTTACCTGTGTTCTATGAAGTTAGAGAAAGTAACAATGTGTTGCAGACACTCCAAAAGAGCCCTTCTTACCTAAAAACCTTTTAAGCCTGGGAATACTTACAATTCTAGTAAAATTTACTAAAATTTCAGTTTTGTCATTGCACAAGTGCACACAGCCAAGTTAGAAAGCTCAACTACAGAGCCAAAAAAGTGTGGGAACCCCTCATCAACATTACTACCAAGCTCATGAAGAAATAAATATGCACCCATTATTGCCAACTTATAGACAGATCATTTTCTTTATGTTTCCGATTCAGACAAGATTATCTAAAACATGCAGACCTACCATTTGGCTGCTGAGCAAAAGTAGTCTGTTGAGGGAAAGCTGCCTGGGTTGGGAACGTGGGCTGCTGGAAGTTGCCACTATAACTAGTAGGAAGACTGTAGGAAGCAGGAGTTCCAAATCCTGCAGGCATGCTCATGGATGCAGTACCAAATGTTGCTGCTGATAGGCAAAAAA